TATTGGACTTTTATTTATTTTATCTTATATATTTTATTGGACACAACCCGAGCTGTAATTGAATTTGCACGCTCGCATTTTGGCGACGACGACAGGACTATAATTGACAGCTAGATCCTCATATCTGCTGTTGGAAGATTATAGTCAGAACCTATAAACATAAATTAATTAAGCAAAAGTGGAGGACGATAGTACTATCTTGATTATAGAAGAAACACCATACCGGAAGAGCCCAGGATATCTGAGAGATACTACACTAGAAAACGCTACTAACTCCCCAGAAATATCACCACCAAAATCGACCCTTAGGGACCTAGAAAGGGCAATAACTGAAGTTACTAGTAAAAAGGTAGCATTAGAATTCCAAAGAGAAAAGGGTACAGAACTAGATAAAAGGGACCGGGAATTTAAAATACAGGAATACGAAAAGAAACTCCTTCAATACAGAGCACTAGTAGCAAAGGCAAAGGAGGACCAGATGAGTGGATTTTTTGGAGGAATATCAAGATCATTATCAGGGGGAGGCCAGAACACAAAAGAAGACAATTCGGAGAATAAACTAGTGGTTCAAATGGTAGAAGCAAAAACAGGTATTAAAACAGCAACAGGACCACCAGTGCCAGACCCATCAACAATAGTAAAAGAAAATAAGGAAAAAAAGAAAGAGGCCGTGGCATCTACTAGCAGCAGCAAGAATAGTAAGCCACAAAGTACTGCAGGGGACAATGTTGGAGGGACTAGTACGTCAACACCAGTAACTGCAGGGACATCTACTAATCCACCAGAAAACCCATTTTGCATAATTAAAAACTGTAAAAATAAAAAACAAAAAGGAGCACAATTCTGCAAGAGCTGCTTGGATAAGCAGCTGGCAGCAAGACAATGTGTAACCAAGGATTGCACTAATGTGAAATTAGGAGGGTCGAAATTTTGCTCAAAGTGCGCCTCCAAAAATGACACAGTCTACTGCAAAGAGGGAACCTGCGTTGAACAAGCCCAAATGGGAGAATTATACTGTGCAGCACATACATGCACAACCAATGGCTGTAGGGAGCCAAAGGATGGGAATAGTCATCTGTGCAAAGACTGCTATCAGAAAGTAGAAGAACAAAGAAAGCAAAGAGTAAAGTGTGCAATATTACGATGTAATAACAGAAGGGAGATGGGCAATATCTTTTGCACAACATGCAAGGGATCTTTTTGTGAACAGTGTGGGACAGATAAGGACGTAGGTGACCGATATTGTCAGGGGTGTAAATGTCAAATAGATTCATGTGAAAACAAAAGAGAAGATTATAAAGCCTTTTGTAAGGAATGTCAAGAGGACCCAAGAAGGTGTATAACGGAAGACTGTCCTAGGGCAAAGCTAAGTGGAGGAAGCTATTGTGAAAATTGTAGAAGAAGGGATTTGAGAAGATGCCCAGCCCCTACCTGTACAGAATGGAATCACATAAATAACACTCAGTGCCAACACTGTGGAGCCAAAATAAGACAATGTGAAGAACAGGGATGTGAAAACCTTGTGCTAGAGGACGCAATGTACTGTTGGCCCTGTGAAAAGAATCTATCAGAATGCATAAGGGAAGGGTGTCGAAGCTCAGTGCAGCATAGGTCAAATCGGTACTGTGATGTTTGCTTTAATAGCATGAGCCCACCAAACACACCAACAACAACGGTTTCTCGAACAGTCAGAATGGGGCAAGGAGCAGGATCTCAACCAACCTTAGCAGGAACTAGTACCCAGGGAATAGGAAGAACTGCCACACCACCACCAAGACAACCGCCTAATTGGCAAACAACAATCACACAACCACCAGGGGGCCAGCAGGGTGTAGTTGATCCATTCATCACGGTTATTAGGTCATCTCCCCCACCAATTCTACCAATTACACAACCAATTGCAATACCAGTACCCACTACACAACAACAACCAACACAACCACCACCACCACCACCACCACAATAGTATAAACTGAAAAATATAAATGACAAGGATTTAATTATAGTCTGCTGTGACAAGGGTTGACTGTATTAATTATAATAATAATAATAACGGAAAAATTTTCTTACCCAAACTATTTGCTAAAACAAGATTTGTGTATATTTTTAAATTTAAAAGATGATGGCTGAAAAAAAGGTATATATAATTAACCAGTTTTATCCCTTAGACGAATTTTGGACCAAATCTGGTCCAAAATTCCAATTCTGGTATTTCACAAGCTAATAAAAGTTTTGCAGTATAACTCTGGGTGTGTTGTGTATTATTTAAAAAATGTTCTCAAATGGTATATTAATACATAAATAAAATAAAAAATGGTCATTATTGTGCAAGTTCTCTAAAATTATACTATGCTTTGTTCACAGAGTACAAAATCTACAAATTTTCCGAAATAACTAAAGGATTTCTGAATTTCTTTTTTTGGTATCGTACAATTTTTTTAACAATTATTATTATAGACTGATCCAAAATTTAAATGGCATAAGTTAAGGTTGCTTGCCAAAACTCCTCCAGAAATCAATCAGCAGGGTTTCATTAATTGTTTATTAGAGTTTCAGCAGGTTTCGCATTTTGAGGTTTCACCATTTCGGCATAGTTTCAACAGGTTTTTTGATAAGATTTAATACAGTTTTGCCGTGGTTTCAGCAATTACTAAGGAGGTTTCGCCCACAACCTTAATTATGCGGGATTTCGAGTATTGTAAACATTTGAGGCAAGAAATGGAAGGAAAAGCCTTAGATGGTGAAAGTTGTTCATATATTTTCTGTACTTTATGTAATGTTGCTTTATGTTTATCTTCAAAAAGAAATTGTTTTGTAAAATATCATAGTTAACTCATTATTATTATTATTATTACACAAAATAAAAAAATATGTGCACAATTTTTTAACCAAATTGAGGTAAAAACCTGTAATCTAAATTTGATTTTTTCCTTAAGTAAAAATGTTTATTGGACTGGTCATTGAGGGATAAATATTTTTTCTAATTGTAACTTTTAAAAAAATGAAAATTTGGAGGTTTTTTTTTCACATTAATAAAAACCCTTCTTCCGAGAAAATAACATGAATGAAATATTTTATATATAGAATTTTGACTTCTATTTAAAAAAACAAAAAAAAAGGGGAGTTGAATAGTAAAAAATTCATCCAAATTTCTGTTCGTTTAAGGGATACTTATATTTTATTACTGCGGAGCAGGCCTATCATATTAATCAAATTACAATTACTATTTTCAGTGGAACAATGAGTTATGATAAATTACCACATGGGTTTATCCATGTTCTTTGTTCTCATTAAAAAAATTTTTTGCATAGATCATACAGCCATTTCCCAAATCTATTTTTCGAAATACCAGAAAAGGAAATGCACAACTGTCTAGAAGGGAGTGTCTGGATTTACCCATTTCAAAAAATAAAAATATGAATAAAATTCTCACATATAACCTTGAAAATTTTTTTTGATAACTTACAATGGCTTCTTACAATGGAATTGACTCCTTAAAAAGTTTTTTCAGAAATGAACCACTCAATAAGATTGCCATTTCTAGGGCTTTTCATGAACCAGGGTTGGCAAATTGACTGGTCCATTGAGAACAGATGGACTTTGGACTGGTCCATTACCATTAATAAAATACTAAATATGGTTAAAGTAATATGCTAATGGACCCAATGGACCACACATTTGCCAACCCTGTCATGAACTATGGAAACAAAATGACATACAGTTGGAAGAAAATGATTGTAACCATCTTTTTGAGATTTTAAACAAGTTAATCTAGATAGTGATAGGAAGCAACATCTCATATTGTTACTATACATGCTATGGTAATTATTTTGCCAAAAACGTAATACGTAATACGTAATTACGAAATTAATTACGAAATTAATTACGGGCAACGAAATCAATTACGGGCGACGAAATCAATTATGCGTGACGAAATCAATTACGGGTGACGAAATCAATTACGAATGACGAAATTAAATGACACCTATTATTTATCTCGTTATACTAGTAAAATGACATAATTTGACAACTTTTTTTAGAAATATAGAATTTATTCTGTTATAATAACATGTCAGTATAATGGAGAACCAATCAAAATCATTCTCATTTCTGAAAAAACATAATAATAAGGAAATAAAACTTATGCCGGGATCAAGATTGACTGGCACCATGGAAAATTCTGATAACACTTCTGTATAATGC